AAGCGCCTTCCAGGAATAACTTGCAGGTCGTATTCTGACTGGACCGTCAAAGTTCAGCAACAAGCCTCACGAGACACGTGGACCGATACGGTGGTGACCACAGGTAATTAGCTGACGCGCACCTCCTGTGGACAGTGAGTTAACCCACTCAGGAAGCGCACAATACTTGGACAGATTTTGCATAAAATGTGATTAGACTTATGAAAGCTTCCAGACCAAATACCAAGGTGCATTGACATGCAAATGAATGTTGGAAGCCCCCCACTTAGAGGTGGATTGTTGTCAGCTTCGATCAACTCAATCGCTAGAAGCCTGTCTAGCATCGATGAGCGTAGTCTGTTTCTTGGCAGGACAGGTAGAATGAACAAGTCCCTCATAGTGTTGTTCATGGGTTTCGAGATGGCGTCCTCAACAAACAGTTGGCGTTACCATTTCAATGGAAAATGTGTGAGTAATAAGTGCCGTGGTTAAAATGGGTAAATTCTTGAACAGCCATGGTGCCTCAAAAGTAAGCCGAGCATGGCCAAGATCTGCGGTATAAAGTCCATTTTAGGAAGATGGAGGGTGAGATACGTACTGGACTATGCCGTTCCTGAATATCATCCACAAATTGCGTGAACCATACGGGAGTAGGGTTTGCACCTGTTTGAAAAGCCGATAATGCAAATCAAACGCCAAAAGTTCGCGGCCATGGATGTTTAAGCCGTCGATGTTCACTGACGGTGCGGTCCAGAATCGAGAGCGATAGGTCCCTCATGGATTCGGAGCCGGTGTCAAGCTCTCTTTTAAAAATAAAATAGAAATTATCATAAAACGCGTGTTCCAATGGTGGTAGCACATTCCATATCTCAGGTTAAAACCCAGGCATTGGATTGGATGATGTGGCTTGTCCGCGGGCGGGTTCAGCGGTCGTAGCGGTCGCAGCGCCTCTGGTTGTCCCCTGGTATATGCCCGGAGTGCAACGTCGCAGGGGCGTGTAATTGTTCAGGGGGTTGAATTTGATGAAATCCAGGAGAAGGTTGGAAGGAGTGGTGGGGTTTGAGAAACTGGACTTTCGTGCGAGCAATAACGTACCGAGATGGTGCTCAGGAACGAGGCATGAATGAAATCAAAGACTTTTCTTCTTCGAAGGGGCCGAGCTTGATAAAGTCGCTCATGCTCACGATCGAGTGTGTTGATGGTGGCTGATGACCTCTGTTCCTCCGAATCTTGCAACTCGATACTCCGTGGTTGACGCTTCGCGCCAGGTCACAAAATAACCATAGTTGTCATCCTCTGGTCTCACTGCGGTTTTATCTGAATCTGTGCATCTTCCGTCGAAGTTGGAAGATGTTTCCGTGATGGTGTGGTTTCGAGTTTGTGTCGTGTAACTCAGGTCTCAAAGGAAGGGACAGGTCCGTGTGTGTAATCAAAATGCGGTTAGTGTGGCGACAATGTGCACTATATTATTCAAGGTTTGTGCAACTGACCGAGACTGCACAAAACGGGCAAAAATTGCGCCGTTAGTTGTTGGACTAACGGCCGTATTCAACATCGGGTGGTTTAGTGGTTGATAGCGGGTTTTCCGTCAAGATTTGAGCTTATGCTATGCATGATTTTGTGCAAAAGGAGAAGCCAGGCCTTCCCAGTTTATCCACCTGCTACCAGAAGATGATCCCAAAATGGTGGCCGGTTCCCTGCTAAATCCCTGACAGTGTCTCCACTAAATTGCAAATGCCCCTGCACCCCCTGGTCCTTTGTCTCGCCAGCTCGTGCAATTACTGGCTGGTGCGCTGAGGGTCCTGGTCTTGCTTGGCTTTTGGCTCTGGATCTCCCCTTCGCTGAGCATCTTGTCCCTTTCCCTTTCCTGTCCCCTCTGACTCGCTTCGCTTCGCTTTACCTTCCATCTCCTGTCCATTACACTCCATCTCCTCTTTCAACAAAAACAAGCCACTACCTCTGGCCGCTCGCTCGTTCCAGTCCCTCTTTCATTTCCCCCCACACTTTCAAAGCGTTTGTTCTTTCTTCTGTTTGACTTTGAAGCGTATCGTGATTAGTATCGCGGTGGTCTCTTTTCATCGTCGAGTTATTTTCCTTGTTCAAGGCATCTTGATCTTCTTTCTTCATTTGCCTCGCCTCTCCTCATCTCCTCTACTACGACACGTGCGATCGATACCTCTGGCCTCTCTTATCACCGTCATCTATTCGCCACCCGACGGCACTGCTGGATCAAGCCATCGACCATCAACGGCTTTTGTGCAAATACTGCAAAGGGTTAATAGTCTGTTCGCTATCATCGACGACAAGGAACAAGTGCTGCCAGATAGTGGAATATTTGGCCCCTTTCACATGCTCATCACATCCGACTTCTCTCGATCCATATCCATCTCACTGGGGGTTCTTATCAACGATCAGTATACGATACTCGTACACTACTGCTACACATTCGCTCAAAACTCTCTTCACACATATTCACCATGAAGACTTCAGGACTTGTGGCAATGGCCATGGCGGGTGCCAGCCTTGTATTCGCTGCAGACCTGCAACAGCCTGCGCAGACTCCCGTCTTGAACCAGCAGACTCGTCAAGGGTGCTTCAAGTCTGTGGGTAACATGACACAGGCATTTTCGGGCACCGATACATCAAGTGGTTATTGTTTCAACCTATGCAAGAAGAAGTACAACGCGTTCGCACTACAAGGGTCGAAGTGCTATTGCGGTATGCTCTACCCTCCAGATGACGACCTGGTCGACGACGATAAATGCAACTGGCCGTGTCCTGCTTATCCTAAGGAGGCATGCGGTGCTCTCAGGACATACTATTCGGTTTTCAATACAGGCCTCGAATTAGCACCTGATAGCTATAAACCGGAAGAATCTACCACAAGTGCTGCTCCTTCGTCCACTAAAGCCACTGAAAGCAATGAAAGCACTGCTGCCGAGGAATCTACTGCCCCAACAGAAAGTAAGGATGCCGCTACTACTTCGGAAGCGGCTTCCGATGAGAAGAAGAGTGGCCCCAACGTGGCCGCCATTGCTGCTGGTGTCGTTGTGGGCGTGGCCGTTGTTGCTGCCATTGGAGGTGGTGCCATTTTCTTTGTCCGCCGCCGACGCAACGCTGAGATCGAGGAGGAGCACCGCCGAAACGCCGCCGTAAACGCTTTTATCAATGGCTCTAAGCCACCTGGCAGCAGTGGCAGCATCTCCATGACCGATTCCCGCCTGGATCCCGTCATGGCTCACCGACGACTCAGTGATGGTAGCATCGCTGATAATCAAGATTATTCTCGAAGAATCCTACGGGTAAGTTAATAGTGTGTGTTGGGATGCATACACGTTTCACTGACTTGAGATTAGGTCACCAACGCTTGAGCGAATCTCGAGTCTAGGATCTTCAATATCAATTACTTTTCACCCATTATTTCACCATCGGCATTTAGGGCGTTTTCGGTATGATAGCTCATGTGTATTTGCCAATCAATCACTCCCGACGATCTGGCGGCGTTTGACTCTTTTCTGGGCGTAGGACTAGACATTTCTTCTACTGTTTGCGTCTGCGGAATTACGACTGGATTTGATCAATCACGCTCCACGGCACACCGGCTTCACCTGCGCCATCCACTCATTGTCTCCTTTTTCACAACTAGGCCTTTGACGAAACGACTGGAGAATATGGGAATAATGTCGCAAGTGCCCTTTTTAGATGCCATCTTTCCCTGGATCCGTTTCACTATGGATGTCGTCTTCGTGTAAGGGTATTTAAGCGGCAATCATACCCGCGTGTAATCGGCACGTCTGTTTTCTTTTCTTCATGACTGGGAGTCCTATGTCTCCTGTGTACAAATTCTCCCTCTGTTTGTTGAGTAGGGCAGGGTCAGATCTAAAAATAAGGGGGCGAGAAGTCCTCTCGGGATATTGGTCAGGGTGCGATGGAGCGAGTTGTCAAGTAGATACAATGGAACGTGGGAGATGTGCCAACCTCGTGGGGGGGGTATCACGATTGGGAGGTTGGCGGATAGTGCGGGATATCGTATCGTCGCTTTATTTACTTTTTTACTTCACCGTTATCTTTTCCCTATCATTGACCGATGATCGTGGTGGTCATGGTGTCGCCTGTATGTAGGGTTGTGCATAGTCATACTACTACGTAGGACTTAAGATGCTGGTTCATTGACTGAGTCTTTCCCTTGATATCACTGCTGAGGTAAGCTGCTGTTTTAGGCTTATATATATACCCTGTGCAAGCTGTTGGGCGCCATTTGTATGCATTGTGTGATAGTGGTGAATGTGGTTTTGTATTGGTACCAGCTCTCGACGGGCCATGTAGCTTGGAAGATACCTTAGGTAATTTCCTCACCGATTGCCTCACTTGTAGGACACTTCGTCTTCACGATGCATATACTCAAAGAGATACCCGTCCAGTTGGGTTCAGTCCCGATGCCCGATCTGAAATTTTGCAGGTATTCGGGTAAGGTGCTACAGACTGATATGATACCTCAAAGGTCTTTATTTGTGTTGCGATTAATGTTGCAGTGCCGTGTTGAGCATCCTAGGTTGTTATCTGTGCTAATTGATACGTTCCACTCATGGAAGCTGACATAGGTGAATGAGAGGTATGAGAGGACAGCATGATCTCTAAGAAACAGCCGGAAATTACTCTCGCTTTAAAACAAATAGCCTCTGCCATGGTAAAAAGGATAGCCAAAAAACTGACCGAAAGCGACAATATGAGGGTCAAACTTGAAGGCCATCAAAGTCTGCTTAGGGTAGGTAGCTAGGTCTCGGGCGAGTAAGCTCAGAGGGGATACCACGTGACCATGGAAGCTCGAGCTTGGCGCGATGCTTGTCGCGTTGGAAAAGTTCCCAGCCTGCAAACATCAACTAACGGCAAACAAACGAAACAATTCGCACACTGCATACACAACGAGAACCGATCCAAATTCCCGAATATTCACCCATAAACCTACAGACAAGAACAAACATCAGTCCTTACAGGGCTTACTGCCCGAGCTCAAACTCAACATGAGCTCCATCCCAGCTCCTCGAATTCGTCGCACGGCGCAAAACACACAATTCACGTAGGTGAACCTCGTTTTCGAACGATATTCGGCTCGAAGAACGCCTTCTCATTTTTATAGATATAACCTTTCGCGACGGGTAAACGATGTTCAAACCTATCCAGTTTACTCTCCACAAGGAGCGACCATCCTCATATACGGTCACGAAAACGGTGTGACGATCGCATGGCGAGGAGGCAAGCGATTCAAGGCTGCGAAGAAGGCCCCGCCTAAACCCGAAAAGCAGAATGGAAACACAGACGACTCCATTATGATTATCGACTCGGACGACGACGAACCACCAGCCAAGTCCAAGACAGCATCTCATTACGAAGACAAACCGCAGTTTGAAGATGAGCTTGAGGATACTCCCTTTCCGGAGATCGTCCAGACACTGGACCTGGCGCTTGGAACAGCGGTCTTGAAAGTTGCGGTCATGCCCATGACCCCAACACCAGCACATGATGCTGCATGGGGAGGTGCTAAAGTCCTGACGGAAAAGATGGTATTCGCTGTGTCTTGCGTAACCAACGACATCTACGTCATTACACTTCCTCTTACCCCCCCATCACCAGAGAGCAAGGCAAGATCAGAGCTCAGGAGCGATCTGCTGGCAGGCGAGGCTGGATCCGGAGCCTGGGGAGAGTCGCTCATCCTGCTTGGTGGCCAGAACAGACACAGCGAGGGCATTGCCATCAACCTCATCATGCCCACTGTCACAGAGCGGCCTGGTACAAAACCCAGGGCCGTTGTTGCCTCGCACTGCAGAGAGGCTTCTGGTGTACTCCGGTTATGGGATGTACCGCTAGATGCTAGTGATAAACCTGCCAGTCCTGTCGAGTCTTTCCAGACCGAGTATTTGCCCAACCCTCTGACAAGCATATCCTTCAACTCTACACATACGACACAGCTGCTTGCTGTCTCAGCCCTGCAGGGCGTTCGGGTCTACGACTTTGCGCGACCCTCTTTCACCGCCACAGATGCCACAGGGCCTTTCCCTCTCCAGGGCTCGTGGCTTCTCTCCATGTATCAGCCCTTTTCTCGCCCTTCATCGACAAGGAAACCAATTATCGACGCTGCTTGGATAGTACACGGTCGCGCCATATTAGTCCTTCTTGCTGATGGCGTGTGGGGTATCTGGGACGTTGATGGCGCCAGTCCTACTGCACCAGGCGCGGTTCTCTCAAATAAACTGCAGCCTGGAGTCAAGGGAGCCGCCTTGACGACCTTCAGCGTTTCTGGCTACGTGGAGGGGACAAGCTCACTTAGGAGTGTGACAACCCAGAACAAGGAGCACAGCACTGGAGACTTCGCCCCTATGACACCGCACACTCGACGACAGGCTACTGCATCCCTGAGCTCTGCTATCACACTTGACCGCCTGGCCACTATCCGAGGTGGCATCAAAGTGTTGTCTCTGCCATCAAGTGGTAGTGCCATTCAAGATGAGACCGTGGTTCTGTGGATCGGTGGTCTCGAGCATGTATGCGTCATCCCTGGAGTCACACGCTTCTGGGATTCTCAACTCCGAAGGGCTGCTGGAACAGGTGGAGATATTTTCAGCGGAGCCCAACCGGTCAAGATGATCAAGCTCATGGATTTGGCAACTGGCCTGCTGGGTGAGAGATGTTGCGGAGTTGGTCTATTGATAGAGCCTGATCACAGTATTATTGCACAAGATGGTGGCCTCCCTGCCGATGTTATTGTTCTCGGCGAGTCCAGGATTGTTGTTGTTCGAGAAGGAGAGGGCGGACCCGGCAAGATTGTGGGTGCCGTTGCAAACTCACGAAAACGACGCTTGTTTTCAAAGGGAGATAAGTCAGACGCTATCATCGTGCACGGCAGGGACAACCGACCAGCCAAGTCTTTGTTCAACCTGAGCACTGTCAAGCCGGGTACCTTACGACTTCGATCTGCCTCTGGAAACTACGATGAAGACGCAGACACTACTCTGCAGCCACCGCGCCGAACCGTCGGCTTTGACTTTATGGACACACTCGAAGCAGCAGCAGACGATACGCAAGACTTTACGAGACGGAACGTGGAGTTTGAGATGTTGGATATCATGGAGATCGACAAGACACTGGACAACATGGATGGCCAAAGAAGGACATGAGGCTGTCTCATGGATGTATAGTTGAGATCGAGGGACTGACCTTTGCGAGTAGATGTCGAGAACGATATAATGTAGATGCCGGGGACGATTTTTACGATAACCCCCACGACATACGAGGTGCCCCTTTGCTCATCTTACATGACAAACGCTTGACAAGATGTGAACATGTGAAACCAGATCCTTTTCTACGTGACATGTTCCGCACGGCCAGGTGGAGCGCAAGGAGAGACCCATCCTTGACTGCTCTGTATTCCGAGCGGTATATCAACATAAAGTACTTTTGTGCTTGGTCGACGATTCAGAGGAGGGTTGGAAGAGGTTCAGTGCCTTGAGCACTATTCTAGCTTTCAGGATGCATCCTGCTATCTGCTGCCTGATGGGTTCTTCGGAGTACTTGAGGCTTGCCTTGAGGACAATGTAGAATTCCTGAGGACAGTGGGGAATGTGATAACCTAAGCTGGAGATTTGAACGTCGATACATTTGTCTCTGCCCTCGACATATCATCTATTGTGACAAAGCGGTAGTCCCAAACAGGGCTGGGTGTAGTTATGGACACCTAGAGAATCCATTGAATTAACTAGGAACATTGGAAGAACAGAACACCAACAGCATCTGAAACAATGGCCTTTTCCACATCCAACATGATGATAGTCACATTAATTACAAAGTCTCTTTGTTCATTTATCACATAATGTTACAGTGAAGCTTCAGGCAGCTCTGAAGCTTGATGTATTAGTCCAATCGCGTTGTGGGGTCAATTAAGATCCCTGTAGTTTCCGTCGCGACAGGCGCGTCATGACGTCCCACACGCGTAAAGTCCCTTCTTCTTTCACGTTTCGTTTGCGCCTCCATCTCTTTTTTTTTTTCTCATTGATTAAGTATTCTCGCTTTTCTTCTTGTCACTTGGATCTCGGCTTCATTTCGAATCTTACTTCACCAACCCAACCCTAGAGTACTAGAGGATAAGTGCAAAGATGGGTATTAAGCAACTCTTTTCGATCATCAAGGAGGAAGCTCCAGATTCGATCAAGGAGGGTGAGATCAAGAACCAGTTCGGCCGCAAGGTCGCCATTGTAAGCTCACTACGATATTCAATACGAAGAGTAATTACTTATGATATTAGGATGCTTCAATGAGTATCTACAGTTTCCTCATCGCCGTACGATCCGAAGGCCAACAGCTCATGAACGAGAGCGGCGAGACAACATCGCATCTCATGGGCATGTTCTACCGTACTCTGCGCGTGGTAGACAACGGAATCAAGCCCCTCTACGTTTTCGATGGTGCACCGCCCAAACTCAAGTCTGGCGAGTTGGCCAAGCGTTTCCAACGCAAGCAGGAAGCTACCGAAGGCCTTGAGGAGGCTAAGGAGACTGGTACAGCTGAAGACATCGAGAAATTCTCGCGGCGAACTGTTCGTGTCACCCGAGAGCACAATGCCGAATGCCAGCGACTATTGAAGCTCATGGGCATTCCTTACATCATTGCACCTACTGAGGCTGAGGCCCAGTGTGCTGTCTTGGCACAGGCTGGCAAGGTGTATGCGGCCGCCAGTGAAGATATGGACACTCTTTGCTTCAACGCACCCATTTTGCTGCGCCATCTTACCTTCAGCGAACAGCGCAAAGAGCCTATTCAGGAGATTCACCTGGAGAAGGTCCTCGAGGGCCTTAACATGGAGAGGAAGCAGGTATGTTGCGACACCCAGATTGGTTGATACATTGGACTAACATCGTATAGTTTGTGGATCTTTGTATCCTGCTCGGCTGCGATTACCTTGACCCAATTCCCAAAGTCGGCCCCAGCACTGCCCTGAAGCTGATCCGTGAGCATGGTTCATTGGAGAAAGTTGTTGAGGCGATTGAGAAAGATCCCAAGAAGAAGTATACCATTCCTGAGGACTGGCCCTATAAGGATGCTCGGGATCTATTTTTCGAGCCTGATGTGCGACAAGCCGACCACCCTGACTGCGATTTCAAATGGGAGAAGCCCGACATAGAAGGCCTTGTTCAGTTTCTCGTCACGGAGAAGGGTTTCTCGGAGGATCGCGTCCGCAGTGGAGGTGCCCGACTGGAGAAGAATCTCAAGAGCTCTCAACAAGCTCGACTTGAGGGTTTTTTTAAACCAGTTCCCAAGACTGATGCTGAGAAGGCAGCACACAAGCGAAAGCTGGATGAGAAGAATGAAGAGAAGCGAAAGAAGGCCAAGCAGGAGAAAAAGGACAAGGCAGCTTCTAAAGCAAAGCCTCGAGGTACCAAGTGAGGATACATGGCATTGCAGTGAGACAAGGATCGGATATGGAAAAGGGCTAGCCACATGCTGGGATCGGGAACGGAGTTTTTGGCGTTGTGGAGTGGTATATACCACCTGGAGGCTTTATCAGGTGGGCATTGAAAGCACTACGACGATTTTGATAGAAATAATCTAGAGTCCGCATCAACGAACGGCCTCAAGGGGAAAGCCCTGAAGCAGGGGAGTAATAGAACTCCTTAGGTTATGCTAAATTGACTTGAACATTTCTGTTACTCAAGATTGACATCTTCTCTCACCTCTCCTACAAAAGGTTTACAAGGAACATGGACAGAGTTCGTTGCATACATGTATCGTTGTGCATATTCAGTGGCTTACATAAACATGAATAGAGGGTCTCAAGAGTCTCAGTGAAGAAGCCCAGTTGTTCGGATGGTTCGTCGAGTTCGGAGACTCGTTGCATTCTCAGGCGGCAGATGGTGATCTGATGTAGATATATCACCGAACCAAGATGCTACTGGGGTCATATTCGGACTTTGAGCCCAGCCAGCCAAATTAGAGGAATTTCCAACACATGTATGTAAGTAAAATGCATCAAAAGGTCTTCTCCGCATGCTCTTTTCAGATGGATTGTCCGTTCCCCGTGGGGGTTTGTCCCCTTGTAAGGTTGGCGAGTTGTGAGCATCTGCATTTACCTCGGACGCCATATTTGGCAATGCTGGACCTCCGATTGGGCAGCGTACAGAAGCCTCGGCATCCTCCATCATGACATCAACGCGTGCGCTAGACTTTAGCAGCAGAGCAATTGTCGTTCACTGCGGCTCTTTCACATGTGAAATGAAGATAGCGAGGCGTATTCACATGACCTTTGTCTCTACATACCATGACCGCATCGAGTAATGCCGTGAATGAGACGACTCATGACCTGAAGCGATAAGTTTTTCCCCAGAAAATAAGATGATAGAATATGGGGGTGGAGCTGAAGCACCAACATGTGATTGTAATGCTACCTATGGTTTTGCCGAAGCATGTTTTAAAAAAAGGTTCTATGAAAGGTTCTGTGATCCCTTTCTCTTCCTTCTTCTTCTCCCATATTGTTGTGCTGGCTTTTTCTTTTTGACCCTGTGATATATACCCTTTGCAGTTTTGATTATCCTTTCTCCATCTCACATCATCACCAATACAAAGTCAACATGTCTAAGGTCTTTACCACAAGCGACGTTGCGTCGCATAAGAAGCCCGACGACTTGTACATCATTGTCGATGGCGATGTTTACGATGTGACAAAATTCCAAGACGACCACCCAGGTAGGTCAATCACAATACAGCCCTCGAAACTCACATCTGACACATAACAGGTGGTAAGAAGATTCTCCAGCGCGTCGGCGGCAAGGACGCTTCCAAGCAATTCTGGAAGTACCACAACGAGGGTATCCTCAAGAAGTACAAGAAGCAGCTTCAGGTCGGATCCCTTGACTCCAAACCCGCGGCCCCCGAGCCTAAGCCTGAGGCCAATGCTGCTCCGGTGCCCGCGGCCCCTACACCCAAGGCCGTCAAGACTACACAGAAGGAGGTTGCTGCCAAGGAGGAAGACGCCGAGGCTCTTGAGCCTTTCGGTGACCAGATACCCTTTGCTGACCCTGCCTGGTACCAAAGCGTAGGTTTGCCCCTGTTGTCTTCTGTCAGCTCCTTGCTTACCGGTGTTAGTACCATTCACCATACTTCAACGAATCTCATGCTGCTCTCCGCGCCGAGATCCGGGAATGGGTTGAGAAGGATATCGAGCCTTATGTCACCGACTGGGACGAGGCCAAGGAGGTCCCCGAGGAGATCTACAAGGAGATGGGTCGCCGCGGTTATCTCGCTGGTCTGCTCGGTGTCAAGTACCCAACCCAATATGTTCCTCAAGGTATCAAGTCTGTCCCTCCCGAGCAGTGGGATCTCTTCCACGAGATGATCATCACCGACGAGCTGTCCCGCACTGGCTCTGGTGGTTTCGTCTGGAACATCATTGGTGGTTTCGGTATTGGCTGCCCTCCTCTTATGAAATTCGGTAAGAAGGAGCTCAAGGACCGTATCATGCCTGGCATCCTCAGTGGCGAGAAGCGTATCTGCTTGGCCATCACTGAGCCTGATGCTGGTAGTGATGTTGCCAACCTGACCTGCGAGGCCAAGCTGAGCGAGGATGGCAAGCACTACATCGTCAACGGTGAGAAGAAGTGGATTACCAACGGTATTTGGGCCGACTATTTCACCGTCGCTGTGCGAACTGGAGAGGCTGGCATGAACGGTGTGTCTCTGCTCCTCATTGAGCGTGGCGAGGGKGTTTCCACCCGACGCATGCCTTGCCAAGGTGTCCTGTCTTCAGGAACAACATACATCACCTTCGAAGATGTCAAGGTTCCCGTTGAGAACTTGCTCGGCAAGCAGAACCAGGGTTTCAAGGTCATCATGACCAACTTCAACCACGAGCGTATGGGTATTATTATCCAGTCCCTCCGATTCTCTCGTGTCTGCTACGAGGAGTCCGTCAAGTACGGTAGCAAGCGACGCACGTTCGGCAAGAAGCTTATTGACCACCCCGTTATTCGCATGAAGCTCGCTCACATGGCTCGTCAAATCGAGGCCTCGTACAACTGGCTCGAGAACCTCATCTACCAGTGCGAACGCATGGGTGAGACAGAGGCTATGCTTCGGCTCGGCGGTCCTATTGCTGGTCTCAAGGCCCAGTCTACCCTCACATTTGAGTTCTGTGCCCGAGAAGCTAGTCAGATTTTCGGTGGCTTGAGTTACTCTCGAGGAGGCCAGGGTGCCAAGGTAGAGCGACTGTACCGTGATGTGCGAGCATATGCCATCCCCGGTGGCAGTGAAGAGATTATGCTTGATCTTAGCATGAGGCAGAGTCTGAGAGTTGCAAAGGCTGTGGGTATGAAGCTGTAAAACCCGGAGTAGAGATCATTTGTATATATATATATATGTGTGTGTGTGTGTGTGTGTTGCACCACCTTGGAGTTACTTATTTGACTATGGCCTTGGTCTAGATGTCAGGCCGAGTAGAGCGAAGAATGAATACCAGTTTCTACAGATTCCATGATGGAGGATGAACGAATGGCTTGCGTGAATTGGCAATTCCTCCAGCGGTTATTGGTCAAGGCATTGTTTTTATGTGATTGTGAGATCGTGAGTGTGCCTAGTATCGAGTAATGTGTACCTAGTAACGCCACCTTTCTTGACCTAGAATGTGAATTGATAGATGAACGATAAGAACTTAACCTTCAGAGGTGCATATCCCCTCAAAAAATACGCACAGATGAGCTGTCTTTTGCCATTTGAACAGCTTAACCCCAGGCTGCAGTACAAGGTGTACCTCGCTTGTTGAATCGTTAGAGCTGGCCCCTGCTTAGAGCCGGAGGTATCATGCGTCCTCATTGAAACTCTGTTGATTTTCATCTCTCGTGTCATATTCCTCACAACAAAAGCCTCGAAATCTCCCACCGAGAGTCGCTCACCTCCAAGCAAACACTTGGCCAATTCCAGAATACAATAGACTAGATCATTTTGGCAAAAGCTCATTCTCGTCCATCTCAGCAAACGATAAAAACCGGGCTGCCCCGCCTACACGTGACCAAAAACTGCAGGGCCTTCCGCCGCAATGAGGCACACACCATCGTCACCTTCACCTTCAAACCCCAAGACTGAGCCTACTCCTACTCTATTTCTTCCCTCTACCAAGAACCCAACCACACTTTCAAACACTCCACGACGACAAGAAACCTCTCCACACGACATCGACCTCGCGCTTTCAACTAACTAAAGCACTTTCATCCCTGAGTATTCTTTCTCAGGTAGTTCGCGCACCGATTTTCTTCCGACCTCTCTCCACACAAACCAACAACGCCTTGCAGCTCCTCACCTGCTGCTCCCCTCCCGCGCCCCGAACCCACGAGAGGCCGACCTCTGTGCTGTTTTGCATATAATACCTCACCCCTCTACTTTCTTTCGATCCGTAGACGGATCCTATACACGCAATGGCGGATCAGCTAGCAGACAAGCTGAAATCCACCCAACTCAGGTCCGCTGCGCCGCCCTAGCGGCCCTTGTGAGCTTGGACTAACTCGAGCAGTGACGGTGCTCCCGCCGCGGGTGACGAGTGGAAGAAGAACCTGAACCTCCCCGCAAAGGATAACCGACAACAAACAGAGGTACATGCTGCAATCATGATTTTCTTGGCGCACGCCTAGAGGCTGACCTTTGTCCCCAGGATGTTACAAACACAAAGGGCCTCGAGTTTGAGAACTTTGCCCTCAAGCGAGATCTACTTATGGGAATTTTTGAAGCAGGATTTGAGAAACCCTCACCAATTCAAGAGGAAGCTATACCCGTCGCATTAACTGGCCGAGATATTCTTGCGAGAGCAAAGAATGGCACTGGCAAGACAGCTGCCTTTGTCATCCCTACCTTGGAACGCATCAACCCCAAGGTTTCCAAGATTCAATGTCTTATCCTTGTCCCCACACGTGAGCTTGCCATGCAGACCTCGCAAGTCTGCAAGACCCTCGGCAAGCACCTCGGCATTAATGTTATGGTTACGACTGGTGGTACCGGTCTTCGAGATGACATTATTCGTCTGCAGGATCCCGTCCATATTGTGGTTGGTACCCCAGGCCGAATTCTCGATCTCGCTGGCAAAAATGTTGCCGACCTTAGCGAATGCCCCATGTTCATCATGGATGAAGCCGATAAGCTTCTATCCATTGAGTTTACTCCCGTTATTGAACAGCTTCTGCAATTTCACCCCAAGGACCGACAGGTCATGCTTTTCTCAGCCACATTCCCTCTGTCCGTCAAGGACTTTTCCGATAAGAACATGGTCAGCCCCTATGAGATCAACCTGATGGATGAGCTCACTCTGAGGGGTATCACTCAATACTACGCCTTTGTTGAAGAGAAGCAGAAGGTCCACTGCTTGAACACCCTCTTCTCCAAGCTCCAAATCAACCAGTCGATTATCTTCTGCAATTCCACCAACCGAGTCGAACTTCTGGCTAAGAAAATTACCGAACTTGGATATTCCTGCTTCTACAGTCATGCTAAGATGCAGCAACATGCACGAAACCGTGTTTTCCACGACTTCCGTAACGGTGTGTGCCGAAACTTGGTCTGTTCCGATCTTCTCACCCGTGGTATCGACATCCAGGCTGTCAACGTTGTCATCAACTTTGATTTCCCCAAGAATGCCGAGACCTATCTTCATCGCATTGGTCGATCTGGTCGTTATGGCCACCTTGGTCTGGCTATTAACCTGATCAACTGGGACGACCGCTTCAACCTCTACAACATTGAGCGGGATCTTGGTACTGAGATCCAGCCTATCCCCGCCAGCATCGACAAGAGTCTCTATGTCTACGAGAACCCTGAGTCGATCCCCCGACCCATCTCCAACATGCAAAGGGGACAACTACCTGCTGCACAGGGTCAGCAGCAGCCCCAAACTCAACAACCTCAGCAATACCAACAGCCTCAGCAGATGCAGCAGGCTGGTCTGCCTCAACAAGGCCAAGGTAATTGGCAGAGCCAAAACCCTCAGCACGGCAACCCGCACTATAACAACGGCGGACGAGGTCGTGGACGAGGCCGCGGGTATCGTGGCCGTGGTGGCCAAGGCGCAGGCGGTCGAGGTCGCGGCCCGCCCCGCGATGCCCAATCCTAATATCATATATCTCTTGCATGGCGTTAGGCAGGCGAGACAGGGGTTTAAGGATGACTTTCAGATGATTTTTTTTTTGTACTGGGTTGTGATTTCAATGTTGGATTGTACATTATTCGCATATTTTTCCGCGAATGGATGGGACGGCGAACGGCCTGCACTGCCGATGGATTACGACTCCTTCGACACTTTCCCAAAGGGTTTCTATGCAAAAACCCAACACATTAGCGAGCCCCGACTCATTTGGCTCACGCATTCTTGGCATGGAGGCCTTGTTGGCTTCCTTTTTGCACGGATCTGTCAGTCGTATCATCACCATCGGCTTTGGCATTCTGTTTGATTTGGTTCATGATATCTACGGATGATGAAAAAGAGCGAGAAATGGAACTTCCAGGGAAAAGGTGTTCTTTGGGCATCGACCACGGTAGACATACCCGCTTTGGGGCTGGACACAGTCAAATGGTGCGGGGAGAAAGGAAAGGAAGGGGTGTTTCTGAGGTTCGAGGCGTTCGAGGCTCTTCACGCGGATGGCGTTGCCCTCGGTTTGTATTTGAGGGCTGCAATTTCTGTAGCTGACTTGCAATTTGAACAGCACCTCGGCGGAGCGAGCGCACGGGGGATATGATACCCTTACGACAAATCTACGTTGGATGAGCGGATCTCATGAGCTGAGGCAGACTCTGCTAGACACGTATTGGTGGATTCGGAAGGGCTTTATGAGGCCCAAGGGTAACATCACTACATTGATATTGCTCTCTCTCCCTCTCCTATCATGGACAAGACGCAGTCTTTGCTCGAACACGGCTTCTCGCGACAAGACTGAGGGTTGAGACACTGAGATGACTGCTATTGAGCAGCACCAATGAGAACCATGAAAGTAGAAAAACAAGAAAAAATAACTTTTGGGAGGGGAAACTGAATAGACCGGATGACTTTCGTACCGGCTCGGCGCGTGCCGTTGTATGGACGAGATTTTGCGTTCTGCAACGACGTGGCTGGAGCTGGTGAGACAGATAGTTTATTTGAGCAAAACTGTGGGATTTCCCACTTTCCTCTCATACAGATGACTCTTGAGTTGCGTGATAACTTGTGATGGCGAACTTATTGAGAGTATCAGCGTTCTCGATCATAGAAGGTCGGAATGATTCAGATGCAGTTCGTTTTTTAACAGATCAGAAACCATCGGTACGCCAAACCCCTACTTAAGGTTCACGTTTAAGTTTGAGAGGACATCTGGATGTAGTAATTGGGGTGTGTTGTAAGAGTCAAGTTAGGGAGTTGTCGTGAACCGTCTGGAAGAGGCTCGTGAAGCAAGAAACGAATGAGTCAGCACTGGAATGCGATCTGACAAAACCCAGGGACAGGGTCTGTAGGGCTTTCACGCATCTGATCAGCAAAGGCGCGTTAGTTAGCACTAGACTACACATGTTCCTGAAAATCACAGCCCTCCTTTTTATTTCCAGAGAGATGGCCAAGAAAGTTGAGTTAGCTGTGCTTGAAAGGATTCATCAAGGATTGCGTAGACAGTGGATCCTTTACATCTGTCACGGTTGCTCGCATTCTTCGCCAACCCCGAGAAGGGCCGTGCTCTGTGGGTGGCTTGCCAGGGGTAGGAAGATATTTGTTATTGAAGATGAAGAGGCAGCCAAGAGTATATGAGATGCTGTGGAGAATGAAGAGCTTGTTTAGATATTGGGGCTGATATGTTGTAAGATGATGGGCTTGGCTTTGTCGTAAGGAGGTTGATACTACATAGAGATGAGAATCAGTTGTGAGTGCAGCATAACAAGTCAAGTCATGTATGATGTATAACGATGCTCCATGTGTCACAGGAAACACACATGCCCGTGATACGAGCTTTGAGTGACAGCTTAGGGTATTCACACGTTCTTTGGAGCGAGACTCCTTCAGAGCCACCATAATCCCAATGAACACTTATAAGACCAAAGACTATGGAATATTGCTCTCCATACCAGATACGGAAACATATCGGATGTTAAAGCCGCGGGATTATCACAGTATGAACCAGTATGGATGGATGCTGGACGCTGCATGTTGGAAGGTAGATCAGCCGCATAAACACCGCTGGTGTCATACTATGTAAGGGTCGCAGCCATGACGGAATGTGCTGGCTAGCGGTGAAGACAAAAAACAAGGGACAGGAACAAATGTCTTGGGACCAAAAAAAGACCTGGAACATGAGAGAATGGCGCCGATCTTGCAAATCGACATA